CTAATGTGCTGTTTTCCCTTTGTACAAATAATGCCGTTCAGGAAGTTTTCGTTTTCTAGGATTTGTTTGGACTCTCTATAAGCAACCCCTTTGCCTCTAAAGCAACACCTTCTTGATAAGATGTGTTCTACATGCTTTTCCACCGCACAGTTCTGTGAGAATCAATTTTTTAACAGTTTCCTGTATTAAGTGTGCTGTCTCTTGGTACACACTGGGCAGCATGGATTTTGCCAGATCTTACGAAAGTATATGTGATAATCTGGGGATAGAGAAAGAATTTTATCAGCATGGATTTTTATATATGCTGATTAAAAAAAGAGAGCAGGCGTGTCCTATCAAAACAGAGGTCGATCTAACACAATATCCTTTCTGTGACTCTGTTTCTGAATGCCTGGGGAAGAGTATGAAACGAGGACAATCACGTAGTGATACCACCTCTAAATATTATCCCCGCTTCCAGCAAATTGTGTCTTTCTAAGCCAATGGTAATCCCTTTCTGTGTAATAACTTTTGTTAATTTTTTCCTCTATAACCATGTCCTGCTGCTTTTTGAGCATAATCACCTACAACAAGAAATTCTCAAGCTGTTTTTGTATGTTATGTGAGGAACCTCATGGTTTGTTTTGGTTTTAATTGCAATCTAATTCTATTTTTGTTTGAAGCTCCTCCTTCATTTATTAGAAAAGATGGCAAATAGTCACTGTTTATTAAGAAATCCATGAAAGACAAGGCTAATCTAAATCTTAGCATCATGGATCCTCATCATCTTATTTTCATGTATATGCATAAACGATAAGTGTGACCCCCAGCATAGCTATCGAGCACCTCAGATCTATACAGCTTTTCACTGGAAAAGGATGCAATTATGTCCCTTGCTTTAGGCAATATTAGCTGTTTTGAAATAGCAGATGTTTAGAGAATGATAAAGTTGTCGAGATCAAGAGCTTAGCAGATTTAGCAGAAGCAGATATTTATATAGTTGAGACCATCCACAGTTAGACTGTGGTCATACAGGATAGGATAGAATTCTGCAATTGGAAGGGACCTACAATGACCATCTAGTCCAACTGCTCTACCGCTTCAGGGCTGACCAAAAGTTAAAGTATATAAAGGGGTAACCCAGCTAGTAATCCGAATTTTCACAGAGAATAGATGTCAGAAACATCATAGCATTCTGATAGTGACAGTTTAAGCATGTAGATCATCTCTTGTCCCCAAGTTGCTTTTTTATTGTTTATTTAGCCCACAGTTTTCAGGACAATTATACAATTTACAGTTGTGGAACAGATCGATTTACTAACTGTACTTCTGCTGTGCTGTTGCAGTGTTGTTGGAGGACTTCCCTAGGTCACGTTCGTGACCTTGGCATGATTGTTGGAGCAGGTATAAAATAACGAGTGGAGGAGTATGCAGTCATCCTCGTGTCTCTGAGGGAGGACATCAGCAGAACGTGCAGGGAAGCCTCCACCAGACGTTGCTGGTTAGCCATGGGCTGCAACCATCTGTCCCCCTGCTACTGTCTTTGGGGGCTCAGCTTGTCTGGATCACCAGCTTGGACTTCATCTGGGACGTTTTGTGCAAATGTTTCAAAAGCTGGTATCAGCACTAACATGAGATAGCAAGTTTGGGTGATGAGCTTCCCAAGTGCTAACTTCCCTAGAAGATGAGGCTTGGAGATCTGACTGTTTTGAGCCAAACATTTAACCTGTGTTGTGAAAGTAGACCCAAGAGGATCTAAGAGTGAAGGGGAAGACTGGGAAGTGTATATCCAGCCCAGCTGATTGCTTTTCTTTGTACTGGGGGCTGAAGGGAGCTTTTCCATTCAGTCCAAGAACTGTAATGAAAGGCTGACTATTGAAAACAGGCTCGTTAGGGATGTTAAAGGACTAAGGAAAAAAAAAAAAGGTTTTGTATACATGAGAACAGCATGGCCTAATGTCTTGTCTGAGATGGTATGTATTGAAGCATGTTTTCTGGGTAGTGGTTTGAGGAAGTTTGTGCATCTGTGAGATGCAGCTCGGTGCCTTTGACAGCCTGTTGTAACTAAAGGGCTCAAAGCTTGTACAGGTATGGGACTCTCAGTCAACAGAGAGTAGCTCACACTGGCTTACATTTGCTGCCTCTAGCATAAAGTATGTCTCTAAAGATAAGTTCATTGAATGGTATCACCTCTCTCTCTGCAAAACTGTCAGCAAAACCTCCAGTTCATCTTTTGCCATGCATTTTATGAATGTTAGCCTATCATAATATGCCTAAGTAGGAAAATTAATGTGGACACTGAAGCAGCTGGCCTTTTGATACAGGGTGAGGTGGTACAGGAATGTGTATAGAGGAGGCAAAGTCTTGTTGGATCATCATTTTTCGTCTTTGACAGTCTTGAGAGACGCTGTTTTGGCCAGAGTGTGAAGGCAGTTGTGGTATTTAAGATAGAGGTACGCTTATTGACTTGGGATTGACCTACGAGAAGAGGATTGATCTATCTGTTTTGCCCACCTCTTCCATAAACTGCCTGGAGATAAAATCCATTTTGTTAGTTGGTACTCAGCACTCTGCAAGCATGCAATTTCAGGTCAAGGAAACATTGCCTGTGTAAGTATTAATCATCCAGCCTCTTGGACCTTTCAAAATATACAGACAAAAGCAAACTGGATTGTAAAATTTTTATCGGTGCTAGAAACCCTACTGGGGCAGGGGTGAGAGGCCTTAGCCTGATTCCTTTATGGATCTGTCTAGCAGAGAGGAATGGGAGTGAGAGGGCTTGCTGGCGGCAGTGTATGTGTGCTCCCCTGAGGCTTTGATAGTTGCAACCAACGTTTTAAGCAGTGATCTTGTACTTCTTCTGAAGCATATTAATGGAATTCTCTTTGAGTAAATAAACTTTTTGATCAATTAAAAATGCCGTTTCAAAAAATGAAACAGCTTTTGAAATGTTTACTCTCGATATGTATATATCATGAAATCTTTTACTGTATTACCTCTGCTTTGAAAGTAGTTTTGACACATATGCAGTGTCAAACAAAAGCATTATGTGTTTCCCATGAACCAAAAATGCACTGTGCTGGATTTGGAGGGCCCTTGGTTTTGTCACTGGTTCTTTGAATTCTATGTGCCAAAGCAAATTTTCAGAGACCCAGTTCTGCACTGTTGAAATGGAAGTCATGAATTTTTAGTTCACAGTATCATTGCAGAATATGGATTTTTTTAGTGTAAAACTGGGCCTTCTTCCATTGCTTCTACTTGGTGTTTGTGGGAGAATAGGAAAAATAATCTTAAGTTCTGCAGGACCAAGAAGTCATCTCTGGCCAAGTCCTTTGCTGCCCACTGGTGCTAGTCCCAAGCTGCGACTTCGGAGTTTTCACTGTTCTCCCAACTACTATCATTCTCATTTTCTTAATAATAATAATTCCCTGTAATGTTGGCCATGTTACAGTTAATAGCCTAGGAGGTCCATATGTACTAATAACCTCATCAAAGGTTAGAGTAATACAGAAATTATTAAGCATCGCAAGGTAGAAGTAGGCTACTTGTATTGGACAGGTCAGTACCACAAAGTAACAGAAATAACTTTCCTTCATTACTACTCTTATATGTACAATAGAAATCAACCCTTTAATAGAAGGATGTATGTGTTTGACGTTTATGTTGAAGTATTAACACAAGGCCCCAGTTAGGACTGAGTTGCTCTTAGTAGATCTCTCTTAAATCATGCAGTATATTTATTGGGAATGCTTCTTGCCATCTGATAAAAGAGCATATACCTGAATAGTAGGGGAAAAAAAATAAAATCCTTATTTTGATCTTGACATTTCTAGGTTTTTACGAGATGATGAGTCAGTCTTTTCATGCTACCCAAGTGTTTCTTGAAAACTAAAATCAGGATGTTACTCTGATGGTTGTTGCAACGTAACTGAAATATGGCCATTCTCTGTTGAAGAAACTGCTTTTACTGTTTTATTGTTTTCCAACCTTTATGTTTGGAAGGTTTCGGAGAAACAAAGAGAAGCTGAAGAATAATTAGAAGACACCATTTTAATACAAACCATCTCAGACAATTTGTATTATCTAAAGAAGGTGCCAGGTTCTTTTCTAGAAAATCTCTTGTATTTCCATTCAGACTACTTCTTATTTCTGCTCTGTAAGTTGCATAATATGGTTGACGTATTTAGCTGCTAATAGTGAAAAGCCTGTTGGCTGTAAAGAGCGTTTGAAGTAAAACATGCAATTAATATTGAATTTGCTCAGATAAGTGTTCCATTTCTTACAGAGAAATTATGAAAGCTTCTGATATCACTGCTACTAATAGAGGAAGGTCTGTTAGTATCTGGATTAGTGATGGAAACTAAGGTCTTAAAGGCCACCAAGGGAGTAGTAGAATCACTGTCTGAGCTTCTATTGTTGGATTTCAGCTATTAGTGTTTGAATTATTGAAAAAGGAAAGCACTAAAATAGCTGGGTTTTTTCAAATCTCTCACTGTAGTATGTACATTTTGTCTGCTTGTTTGAAAACCAAAAAATACTTTCAATAAAAGCTATTACTTTAAGTATGCTTAATTCAAATTTATTAATAAGTATAAATATATTCAGTTGCATCATAAAATAGTGCTCTCTGCAGCTTTAAATTAATAGTGATTTGTAGACAGCCGTGTTGTATTTTACCTTCCCTTAGAAGGTAAGAAAACAAATGTTCCCAACAGCATCTTTCAATCAGTTTTTTGTGTCATATTTTACTCTGTTAACGTATCATAGCATATTTATTTGGTAATAGTAATAGAGTGATCCAAATGAAATTATTCTGGAAAAATGCTTCCTCGTCCATTAATAGTATTTTCACTTTTATTTTGAGTTAACATCTAATGTAAATTTAGTTCTGGATTTTCAACTGATGCCTTATTTTAATGTATGGTCAGGTGCTGTGGTCCAAACAGTAATAGGGTCTGACAGCACATGATAAAGCAAAAGTTTATTGAGGCAGTGGGAAAGATGAGCAGCATCGTGCCCGTATGGCAACTCACCTGATCCCCGATGGACAGCACAGGGCCATAAGCGATGCCATGGCCCTGGCGAGCTGCCAGGGACACTCAGTGTCCGGATCATCTGGCAGCAACAGCCAACTGTGCAAATGCCTTTTGCATGTGGGTAAGAATCGCGTCGCCTCTTGGCTCCAGCAGCAGCGGCAGCGTGCCTGGAGAGAATCCTGCCTTCCGTCAGTAATGTGGGCAGCAGCCTGCCTGCACTGCTGCTGTCGGCTGTCTGTCTGCATTGCCGATGCTGGTCCAGGGGTCAGGTGGAAGAAGACAGTTCCTTGTGTGAATGTCTTTAGGTACTCTGCAACAAAACATTGCACTGATGTGTGGATTGTGCAATTACTGTCTGTTTTGAAAATGTTTTAAGGTTCTTGCTCAACTGAGGCAAGATAAATTATCTTTTAATTAACTTTTTGAGACAGTTGAAGACGATTACCTGTGGTAGCAACTGCAGAAGCAGCAGTGAAATCCACTATTTTCAGCTCTTGTCCTTCCTGTTCTGATTGACCGTTCCAAACCTCTCTTCCTGCCTTCTCCCAGTCGCTGTACCTCAGCTCCACTCACACTTTTCATTGATTCTTCTCTACAGTTTTCCCTTTTTCTTTCTAACTGACATAAACTTTCCCAGGAAAACCCAGCAAAGGAAATGATTGATCAAAAAGTGAATCCAACTAATATGTTTGCAGTCATCACATTGTTTATTCTGCACGTGCATTATATATATCTCCACGGAGTCTGATCTAGCCTGTGAACTCCTTGGGGTAGCACCTGGACACTCTAATGCTCTGAAGCTGCACAACATCTAACAGTAAGGTCAGATGTGGTTGGTCCTTAGACAAATAAAATGAATGAGTAGCAGAGTGCATCTTCCAGAAGAGCATCTAGTTTCAATCTCGATAGATCTAGAGAGAGAATGCTGTCTTCTTGGTGATTTGTTTGAATGGCTGAAAAAGAAGAAAGTTGTCTCATTTCTGGTTTAGTTCCTTTGTTTTATAATATCCAACTATAATAAGATCTACATGGTTCTGTACTGTTCTAGGGAAGTTCTGATTGACTGGCATCAAGTCAGGTTTCATGCTGCTATAACCTCCTACTCTGGAGTGGCTTTATTGCCTTTAAAAATCAGAACTGGAAGGAAAAATGCAGACCTTACTAATTAAGCAGAGTGCAATGATTTGCATATAATAAGCAGATGCATGTGGTTGGGAGTGTATTTTATTTCTTTGCTACCCATCTGACTTGTGTTTCTTTCAGCAGTGCCATACTGGGTTGAGCTTTCCTTTGCTTGTATTAACCTGCTGTTGAAAAAATAACTATGCCCTTCTTAAAGTGTGCCTGTTCTCTAGATGACTGCAACTATTTCTCACTCCAAGTAAAAGAAGTCTCCTAAATAGTATTATAGTAACGAAAAAAAAAAAGGCAATGGTATCGAGGATTCAGTAACAAGATCAAAGTGTATAAGACAAACCTATAATTATTTTGCTGTACTTAATTATTGATTTATATTGATTATATTGATTTATAATTAGTTTGCTATGCTTTTGTACCAGGCAAATTGTTGTTACACAACCATAAACTTTATATTTTACGAGGGAGCAAGAGCTTCTCTAGTTCTCCAGTAAAATTGGAATTGAGTCAAATTTTAAATTATATGGAGACTTAGGCCAAATGCATTTGTGTCCCTACTTTGACAAAATTTGTTCTTCTGCAATGCATCTGAAGAGGCCATAAGATCACTGTAAATGTCCTTTGAGACACTGAAATTTTCATAACAAGTTTTTTTTCTTTCTTACTGAGTGCGGCGAACGTTTTCATGTTGATGAGTTTTAAAAATGATTGAGAAAGACTTTTCAGTCACTCAGCGCTTTGTAGAGTCTCCTTGAAACAAAATGACCTTTCTGTTTTTCAGAGCCTTTTGAAGATTTTTCAGTGTAATTCAGGCTGATAAGGATCTCTGCATCACCTATTTGGCAAGAGGGCGAGTGTTTCTTTGTCCAACACTAACCTTCCTTCTCTACTTGTTTTCTCTGGTGAGGGCTGTTTTAATTGAAGTCATCCCTTCTGAAAGATATCTCCAACCGAGTTTGTTATTGACTTTGAAAGATCTGACCTGTTAAAATTTCCTTGCCAATGAGTTAACCTTCTTACCTGAAGGTGAATTAAAATAGAGAATGACATTTCTAATTTCCTAAGTGATGTAGCCAAAGGAGCTGTGCTAAAGTGGTATAATGTTAATTCAGCCTTTTAAAAGCCTAAGGTTTGTTATTTAACTTGATGAGCCTTCTTGGGCTACGCAATGATAGATCTTCACTCGTGCAGTTGCTTTCTCCAGTTTAATTTTTAATTGAGTTTTTTTGTATCACAAAGAGATGCTCTCGGACTTTTCTCTGTTTCTTGAAGTTCGGTTGTAAATATACACCCAGGAATTCACGTTTAATCAGTCATTAGCAAGATTGAAGTCTGTGAAGTTAAGTAAACTATTTAGCTACTTAGATATTTGATTGACCTGACATCACAGCATCATTTCAGCAGTTTTGATGAACTGGTCTCTGCAGACACTGTTTTCAAACACATTTATCCTAATTCCAGCTGCAATAGCTTTTTAATAAGTACTCAGATAATGTCCTAAAATTTATACTAGTGTGACTGACTGTAAATGATCATGCCCCTCTTCAGATATATAGATCTCTCTCAATATTGATTTCCTTCTTTAAATCGAACTTGCACATGGACTGTTACTTCACCATGTAGAAAATGAGCTTTGTGTTTATCTAATATTTTGAAGTAGTGGGAGGAAAAATTTTAAGGATGAATATATGTATAGATGTACACTTACACACATTGTTCAATGAAGCTTAAAAAAGGAGATTTAATGCTTGTGGTAATTCACAAAAAGTGCATTATAAAATATTCTCAGTGTATAATTTTGAATCTTTTCTGCCATTTCATATCTGTCATGTTTCTTCCTCTTTTCAACTGGAGTTAATAATCATAAAAATATTTAGGAATTAATTTCTAGTGTAGTTAATATTTAATGAAATGTGAATATGTGTTACACATTTTAAGTTTATGGGAATTATCTATTAGTTAAATTTTTAAATTCTGTAGATGATTTTCATAACAAATTTTTCCTCCTGTCAGTTTTCTGATACAGAATCTCTAGCGTGGAATTAAATAGCTGTTTCTAGAAAGGTGCAGACTTTATACTAAATTCTGTAATCTGTGCACCCAAAACTTTAACAAATATTGTTTTCTCACTGTCTACTCTCTGGATATATCTATTCATAAATGCATAATGTCTTTTAATCTTTATATTATGATTTAAACTTTGGCATAGTGAAGTTTTGAGAAACTGAGAATCTGGAAAATACATAACCAAATAATTATTTTGTGACTTTGATGTTTGATATTGACATGTCTGTATTTCACAGAATCATAGAATGGATGAGGTTGGAAGGGACCACTGAGGGTCCCCTTATCCAAACCCCCTGTTCAAGCAGGATCACCTAGAGCCAGTTGCCCTGGCCTGTGTCCAGATGATTTTTTAATATCTCCAAGGATGGAGGCTCCACGTCATCTCTGGGCAACCTGTAACAGTGCTTGCACACTGTCAGAGTTAAGAAGTATTTCCTGATGCTCAGAGGGATCCTCCTGTGTTTCAGTTCGTGCCCAATGCCTCTGATCCTGACAATGGGCGCTACGGAAAAGAGCCTGACTCTATTTTCTTTTCACTCTCCCTTCAGGTATTTGTACACAGAGATGAGATTCCCTCTGAGCCTTCTTTTATCTTCCCTTTTTTAATTAATGTTGAGCTCTTGGAAGAATTTATCTTTCCTATAGAGTTGGTTTTGTTTTATCTACACAAGAATTTTGTCAAACCTACGTATTGTCAGGATTTCTTTCATAAAATCTTTAATTTCTTTTTTCAAAAATTTAGAAGTATTGGCTCAGTAAATACCTAAATAATAGCATGTGATGCATATTCTGTCATGTTTTATTTCTAGAGGTTTTCACGATGTCTGACAAAATCCAAGTTTACCATTTTCTTCAAGGCCGAATGAGGAGAATAGAAAGGAAATAGTGCACCCTCAACAAGTTTGCTGACAACACCAAGCTGTGTGGTGTTGTGGACACGCTGGAGGGAAGGGATACCATCCAGAGGGACCTTGACAGGCTGGAGAGGTGGGCCTGTGAGAACCTCATGAAGTTCAACAAGGCCAAGTGCAAGGTTCTGCACGTGGGTCGGGGCAATCTCAAGCATAAGTACAGGCTGGGTGGAGAATGGATTGAGAGCAGCCCTGAGGAAAAGGACTTGGGAGTGCTGGTGGATGAGAAGCTCAACATGAGCCAGCAATGTGCACTGGCAGCCCAGAAAGCCAACCGTATCCTAGGCTGCGTCCGAAGAAGCGTGGCCAGCAGGTCGAGGGAGGTGATTCTGCCCCTCTACTCTGCTCTTGTGAGACCCCACCTGGAATACAGTGTTCAGCTTTGGAGTCCCCAACATAAGAAGGACACGGAGCTACTGGAGCGAGTCCAGAGGAGGGCCACGAAGATGATCTGAGGGCTGGAGCACCTCTGCTATGCAGACAGGCTGAGAGAGTTGGAGCTGTTCAGCCTGGAGAAGAGAAGGCTCCGGGGTGATCTTATAGCAGCTTTCCAGTACCTAAGGGGGGCCTACAGGAAAGCTGGAGAGGGTCTTTTGACAAGGGCGTGTGGTGATAGGACAAGGGGCAATGGCTTTAAACTGAAAGAGAGGAGATTTAGATTAGATATAAGGAAGAAATTCTTTACATCGAGGGTGGTGAGGCAGTGGAACAGGTTGCCCAGAGATGTTGTGGCTGGCCCCTCCCCGGAAGGGTTCAAGGCCAGGGTGGGCGGGGGTTTTGGGAAACAACCTGGTATAGTGGAGGGTGTCTCTGCCTGTGGCAGGGGGGTTGGAACTAGATGATCTTTGAGGTCCCTTCCAATGCTAACCAGTCTATGATTCTATGAAATCTGTCTTCTTTGAGGACAAGAATATAGTAGTGACGTAAAATAATTTTGGAGGAGTGTTCAATGACACTCTACTGCACTTTGACACTTAATTACAGTTTCCCAAGAAGCAGCAAATAA